AATGGTTCAACATAGTAGCAAGGCAAACTAAACAAAAATATTTTTTATAGGATTATTACAACTTGGATAGTCTCTCATTATTTGAAGTTGTGGATTTAGTGGAGACTACCAGAGATACTCTTGATGGTGTGTGGAGACAAACAGAACATGATCCTTATCCACAGCTACGCATGCATAATCTCTTGGATGTCATAGGTAAATCTTTATGCACTCTGTATTGAATGATTATTTTAGAAAGAGGACACTGAATGCTTGGAGCAGGGACCCTCTGTCTCGTGAAGGTACCGTTCAAAATGTACAGGTTTATGGTGCTTGCTTGTTGTAACTATTTGCAGGAGTACTATTTGCCTTGTAGTAACTCAGACAATTTTGATGGACACCTTCACACACCCTTGAGAAGATGGTGAGCGATACAGTTGTATTGCTTTCAATCTGTGGACCACGTTTGCCTGCTTCTGTTTGACTCTCTCAGAGGAGGCAAGGAATAGTGGTTTGCATAAAACACTGCTGGGAAGTTGATCCAGCTTGTATGGAGGTGAGAGTATAAGATGAAGGGAGGTTACTTCTCTTGTTTCATGGCAGCAGTCCCACGTTTTGGGAGCTGTGTAAGGCAGGGAGTTTGTCTGCAAGGGGGTATCACTGTGTCCTGATGGCTAGGGGGAAGCAGATGCTGTTAGGGAGATAGGTACGTGGGAGGTCTTACTCTGTCAGCTTCTGATGCTGGAACTGTTTCAACTGGAAACATTGAAGACTCTCTTGGAGTCTTTATTGAATCTGAAAATGACTAATCAGTAGTAGATACATTTTTGTGTGGTTTACTTTTTAGGAAATTACACTAGTTGATGAACGTGAATTGGATTGGAATGTTTTATAGGGTTTAAAAGAATTATTTTGAACAAACAGTGTACTGCTTTTGTTTGCCTTTTGGAATTCTAGGTGGCTGTTTAGGTAGATTTGTTCAGAGAAAACTGGCAGCTTTGAATCTGTGGGAGGATGCTTTTCACATTGTTAAAGAAAATCTGAAAGCTGGCATCTTGATTTGTGAACAGTGGGTATCAGCTTGTGTGTACTTGACTGGACAGCTATGGCAACGTTACACACTACATCCATGGAAAAATGAGAAATATTTCCCTGAATCATTAGCCAAACTTGGCAAACGTCTTGATGAGGTAAAGACTGGATTTCCTCACATTTGTTTTTTTAGAAACAGAATTAAAGAGCATTGTTTTGAGCTAAAAAAAAAAAGAAAGAAAGAAAAGCATATTATTGATTAAGATAACATTCCACGATGCATTTTGGAAGTTTCTTGTGCAAAGGAAAAGGATGGTATGAGCTGCTTTGAGTTTCTACTTTGTTTTATGTACAAATGTGTTGAATGCACCAAATATTTTCTTCTGTTATAGGTACTAACTATTAGAACACTGCATGAGAAACTTACATTTCTTTTGCCAAACGGAGAACAAAATAATTTACAAGTTGCTCAGGTGTTTGAGCCTTTTGCAGGTTTAAATCCTGTACACTATAATCCTTACACAGAGGTATAGTGCTTATTTTTATATTCTTTCTGTCACTCTTTATTTATATGAGCTTTCTTAAGCTAATGTATCTGCTTATTATCTCTAGCCATTATGGAAAGCTGCAGTCTTGCAATATGAAAGAATTATTGCACCAGCAGAACAGCAAATATCAAGCAAATTGAAAAGATTTATTTCAGAAATTCAAGATAGTCCCCAACAGGTATGGATACTTTTATAGTCTGAAAACTTTCCTCTAGATCAAGTTACTGCATTTTTAAGTAGTTGTTTACAACAAATGAATAGGTACCTATGGCCAAAGACAGTACTTATGGACAATGATAATGAATAGTATTGGAACATGCTTATTTTCTTCAGGGAAAAAAATATATATTTTAATTTCATATTCCAGCTTCTTCAAACATTTCAGAAATATAAGGAACTGATAAAGCGTCCAAACATTAGCAAAGAATTGCTCTTTGAAAGGGAAACATTACTGGCAAGACTTCAAGACTCTGTCAAAGGTAAAAATGTATTTGTAAGTCTTCCACTGTTTTTTTTTGGCAAATACTAGAACTCTAGTTACTTTAAAAATAATGTGAACAGCTTTAATACATTTTATAGCAATAATAAATCATTTAAGCTTGTTTTGTTAGGTTATTAGCCTAATATGAATCATTTGCTTGTGTTAGCCTATCAGATAGATTTTGAAACACGATGCCATGGTGCTCCTGGTGATTCTTCTGGACCACTTTCAGGCAAAAACCTTTCAGAAGTTGTCAATAATATCGTATGGGTACGACAACTGGAGCTGAAGGTAACAAATTTCACTGCAAATTATAGAGAATATTGTCGTGTGAATAAAACATGATATATAAGATTTTAGAGAAAATAATGTTTGTAAAAAACTTTCAAGAGTTATATATTGAGCATTCCTTACTAGTGGGAGTAAGTAACTAACTAAGTAGTTTTTAAGTGACACACAAGATTATCTTTGCATTGCACATTAAACAGCCTGCTCTTTTGATTTTTTTTTTTTTTTGGCCAAAAAAATTGAGCAGAATTCTGTGAAGGCGTGCAGCTTTTTGTATAACTGTATTCTCCAGTCTGCATTTTTAAACTCTGTGTAGGATTATTAGCCAGGTTATGACACTGTGATTCTTACTTGTTAATATTAACCTGCAAAATGTTTCCTTCATAGCATAGGGATTTCTTGAGAGCCCTTGAATCAGTTACTGCCAGGCAGTTTGCAGTGCTAATTTAAAGCAGGAACCTTATTTTTCTGTAGTAAAAGCTAATATAAAAAACATTATGTTCCCTCACAATGGAATTATTTTAAGATATAATTGACTCTGTTTTAACTTTTGCTATTTTGTTAATTTGTATTTGCACTTTAGTTGAAAACCTTCTGAATCTTTTTGGAAGGTATGAATTAGTTTAAAGTAAAATGCTTTCTGTCGACATAAATGCCATACTTAGTATATATACACTTGAGTGAGAATGTATCCATCCATCCTAGAATAAGATTTTACAGCAGAAAACTTGAGAGCCCATTTCAGCTGAATGTGACAATGGGTAGGGATCTCGAGGATTTTTTTTTATATTGTCCCCCACAGAGCAGCAGCTTGAGCTTCACAATTATTTCTTTTGCTTGGTCTGCTAAAGACCTTGAGGACAGTTCAGCTGACAAATGACTATGTATCTACTTTCGGGTGAGCTGAATTTCTGAATGACTCTCCACTGGTGTATTGACCAAGTTCTTGAATTATTTGCCCAGAAGTAGATCTCAAATCTCATTTAAATACCCTTAGAGTATTCAAGACATTGACAAAGACCTTGTAAATGCAGCACAGATCTCATGGAACATCTGTACCCTTCTGGAGAAGCACCTAAAGACCGAGTGACATTCCCTAGGGAATATAAATGATGGTAGGTAGGTGGGGTGGTCACCTGATTCAAACCACATCTCAATTTACTGAAAGGGGAATTGGAACATATATGACAAAATTCAGAATTCATTTCTTGTTATTCTCCTTTTTGAACCCTACTTGTATATTTTATAACCATTAATATTTATTGTGTTAATTTTTCTTTTAATTGAAAATTGGGAAGTTACGTTTCCTTCTTCTATGATTGTGTTAAGGTGGAAGATGCTATCCAGCTTGCGGAGGCTCTGCTGTGTGATTTGTCTGGATTTCAAACTTTTCGTCAAAGTGCAGATTCTCTTTTGGAACAGTTTAAAGGATATGAACAAGAGCAATTTGATGATTGGTCTAGGAATATCCAGTCAGAGTTATCAAATCCCAAGTCAGGACTTTGGTAAATATATTTTTGTTTAGATAAAGATTATGTTGACATCTGTGTAATTTAGTAGGAATTGATAAAGGAAGCATGAAACTACAGAACTGAGAATGAGAGGGGAAATAAAATATAAGAATTCATTATCATTTCATAATTGTGGATCCTGCCAGCCTTAATTGGTAGGGGAAAATATACAGGACAGGATAAATTCCTCGTAAAATATGGAATGAAATACACGTCTCGTTAAAGTTACTCACATTGTGACAGTGTCTAGAAACCAAATGATCTTGGATTACAACTGTGAAATACTGATGACACCTGCAGAGTAACAAGTAATCGCTATTCACAGGAAACTATTGTGAGTACAGCAGGTAAAGGAAGAGTAAGAAAATTGATTAAAACCTCATGAATTACGTTCTCCAAAATAATGAAATTACTTTAGGATAGATAAAAAATATATTTTCAAATTTTACTTTACATTTTTGATTACACTGAGTGCATAGCTTCTGTCTGCCTTTCTGAGAGTTACGTTTTCTTTTTAAGACACAGCCTAGGTGTTAATTAAATATGAACTATTAGTAACATATCTGTAAAACTTTCCGAGCAAAATCAGTAAACATTGCCCATTTCTACTTGTATTCATTGGTTGTGACTTAAGAGAAAGATTACTAGAATAATATCTGAATAATTTAGGATGTTAATGAGCATAGAACACTGTAATGCATTGAGCTTTTTAGAATTGCTTATTGTTTTATTATAAAATGCATCCAGAAAGGTACCAATATCAAGTTCTGTTTAACACCATGTCTAATCTAACTTCGCTTTAGCATACAAGCTAATAGTCCTGTTATGGAGCTGGATCACATTTCTGGAACATTAAGTATACTTTATTCGGATCATTTGGTGACTCTCCTAAGAGAAGTACGTCAGCTATCGGCACTAGGTTTTTCTATTCCATCTAAAATACAGCATGTTGCAAACACTGCACAGAAGTTTTGTAAGCAAGCAGTCATCCTCAAACAGGTATCATACTAAAAGCCATAATAACATTCTGTTTTGATTTCTGTCTTTCATTAATATTTTAGATTATTATATTTCTTTCACTGTGTGCTTGATAAATTTCAATTTCAAATTGTCATCTCTTTATTTTTATAGGTGGCACATTTTTATAATTCTATTGATCAGCAAATGATTGAGAGTCAGAAACCAATGATGTTACAGTCTGCTCTAGCATTCGAACAGATAATTAAGGTGAAAGAATCCTTCTGTCTATGCTATTTTAAAACTCAGTGGTATATGTGTGTATTTTATGCTGCCTTTTTTTTTTGTATTTATTACTGAATTTTTTTGCTTCAATCTTCCGATACAAGCAAATCCATCTTAGCATTTGTTTTTTTTGAAATTGGTGATTTGAGGACTTTGTCTGGAAAAAAAGTAAAAAATGAAACTCTCTGATGTTGTGTTTTGTTTATGAGTCATTGAAGTTTACAGAATAATTTTAAAAATGTATTCCATGAAAAATATGTGGGGTTGGATAAGCAATTATTAGGGTGCCAATTTGTTGTTTGGTCTGTGTAGAAGAGAGAGGAGGAAGGAAGTTTAAAATGCCCACTCGACTTAACGTATCTGGTATCTGTGTTTGTGGGGCAGTGGTCCCACCCTAAGTGGATAGTCTTACAATAATCCTTTCTGAGTGCGTATCAGTAAAGGTATGTCCAGATGTCCATGATATGCCAATTTATTCCTTCTTTAGCACAGTAAGAGCGGAAAGTAGATTGACTTTTATTTTTTACTGCGTGGTAGAAAGATCTTTTTCATATTGCCACATGCAGCCACATATTCCAGCTGGTAATCTAGTCCTGTGTAAACCTTATAAAGCTCAACTGTTTTTTCCAGCATTCAAAAACTGGTCCTGGAGGAAAAGCTCAAATAACATGGGATAATCCCAGGGAGCTGGAAGCTTATATTCAAAAGCTCCAAGCTGCTGCTGAACGACTTTCCACTGAAAATAGAAAACTAAGAAAGTGGCACACAAACTTCATTGAAAAGGTATGTTTTCCAGATGAAATTGAAATAGTTTTTTGTATAATTTACTTTACCCCTACTTTCATTTATGTGGAGATTAATACATTATCTTTTAACCTTTTAGGTTATAGCTCTCATGAATATTGATTTATTGCGGCAACAGCAGCGCTGGAAAGAAGGAGTCCAGGAGCTCAGAACTGGTTTTGCCAGCCTCGAGTCACAGGCAGGGTTTAATTTTGCAAACAGAAAATTTGACTTTTCAGTAGTTGTCAAGATTTATGACTCAAATTTATTATGATTGATAAAGTTTCATAAATGAGATATTTTATATTTGCTAGGTTATGGAAACTGTGTGTATTTGATGATATCTTTGGCTTTTCTAATGCAAACCAGGATTATTGTAATTGACATTTTCGAGTTAGATAATTTTCTTTATTTTCCTAATAAAATTTGTATCTACTGAAGTTAACCACATTTTAATTCTATGCATATTTTGCTGGAATTCTTGATTTCTATTTTTTTAAATT